TTGGGGTGGGGTCTTGGGTACGTTGGGGGGGTGGCAAAAATTTTGGGGGTGCCCAAAGATTGGGGGGTGACAATTTTGGGTGTCACAGGACGGGAGGTGACAGTTTTGGGTGTCACAGGACAGGGAGGTGACAGTTTTGGGGTGGTGGCACCAGTTTTGGGGTGTCACAGGACGGGAGGTGACAGTTTTGGGGTGTCACAGGACAGGGAGGTGACAGTTTTGGGTGTCACAGGACGGGAGGTGACAGTTTTGGGGTGTCACAGGACAGGAGGTGACAGTTTTGGGGTGGTGGCACCAGTTTTGGGGTGTCACCGACCGGGGGTGTCACCCGTCCCCCCCCAGGTCCTGTTCGTGGAGTCCATCTGTGACGACCCCACCATCATCGAGGAGAACATCAAGGTGAGACAACGGGACCTGAGGTGACAACTGGGGCTGGAGGTGACAACTGGAGCTGAAGGTGACAACGGGACCTGAAGGTGACAACTGGGGCCAGGAGGTGACAACTGGAGCTGAAGGTGACAATAAGGACCTGGAGGTGACAAATGGGGTATGGAGGTGACAACAGGGACCCGGATGTGACAATTGGGGCTGGGAAGTGTCAGCTGGGACCTGAGGTGACAACAGGAACCTGGAGGTGACAACGGGAGCTGAAGGTGATAATGGAGACCTGGAGGTGACAAATGGGGCATGGAGGTGACAGCTGGAGCTGGGAGGTGACAACAGGAACCCAGAGGTGACAACAAGGACCTGGAGGTGACAAATGGGGCTGGGAGGTGACAGCTGGAGCTGGGAGGTGACAACACAGCCTGGAGGTGACAGCTGGGGACCTGAAGGTGACAATTGGGGTTGAGAGGTGACAACAGGAACCTGGAGGTGACAATTGCAGCCAGGAGTGACAGCTGGGGCCTGGAGGTGACAACAAGGACCTGGAGGTGACAGCTGGGGCTGGGAGGTGACAACAGGGACCTGGAGGTGACAGCTGGGGCTGGGAGGTGACAACAGGGACCTGGATGTGACAATTGGGGCTGGGAAGTGTCAGCTGGGACCTGAGGTGACAACAGGAACCTGGAGATGACAGCTGGGGCCTGGAGGTGACAACAAGGACCCAGAGGTGACAATTGGGACCCAGAGGTGACAACAAGGACTTGGAGGTGACAACAAGGACTTGGAGGTGACAATTGGG